TAAACGCCAAACGGCCACAGCTCAGCAAATAATCATTGCGCGCGTGCTTTTAATTAAGTTTTGCTGGTTGGAAAGCTTGGGAAATAAGATTATCAAAAACATTTGTCATACAGAATATTACTGATAGAATTTTTTTTTCAAATTCATCATTAATGGGGTCATCAGTTATCTTTTTTAATAGAAACTCAAATAGACAAATTTCTGATACTCGCGTGATGTTATCAGTAATTTTGTTCATTGTGGAGAGTAATATAAGTAATATAACTAATTTATTTATTTTGAAGTAATAATCATTTCTCTTTTTTAATCATCAGAATTTTTTAAAAATTTATTTTCACTTTATATTAATTATTTTATAATAATTTTATAATCATTATTTATAATTATTTTATAATAATTCTACATTTTTTTTTTCAGTAAAAAAATTTGCTATAATTTTTACTCCAAACATTTTTGTTCTTTTGTGTAGATTAACGAAAAAAATATATGAACTTCATTTGATGTTTTGCAAAAAAGCTATGAACGATTATATCTAAAGAAGTGCGTTTATGATCACATTCAAACTCATAAAACTACATGAAATCTTCAAGTGATATATTTCCTATATTTTTTTCTATACATGCGTCGTAAAAATGAAGATTTAAAAAAAAAAATCATTAAAATCGGATAATTTTTCGATTTTCTAGAGTCAAAAAACGACGGGACCGCAAAAGTATTAATTTAAATATTTAAAATATTAATTTTTATTAAAGTAGTAATTTTTTATGCATTATAAAAATTGATAAATAAAAAGTGCAATAAATATTTTTAAGCTTATTTTGATAAATTAGTACATTTTCTTAAGCCTTCAACTTTACCTACCCTTCCCATATATACAGACATCACTAAAAATCCGAGTGTTTTATTTTTAAACATTAAAAGTGTTTAAATATGACGTCACCCATTTGATTAATATTGTGTCGTTTTTAAAACGTTTTCAAGTGTTTTAAAAACGAGACAATCTTAATAAAATGGATGAAGTTACATTAAAACGCTTTAAATGTATAAAATAAAACACTAAAATGTGTAATTATTAAATATTTAAAGTTAATTAAAAATAATTTAGCATCATGTGAGAGTAATACACAAGCTAAAAATGCTTTGATAAGAAGATGTACCTTCTCTAGACATCTATTGTAATAATTTTTGAAAAATAATTAATTAAATAATAATTATTATTTAAGATGTTGGTAATTAAATTAGAAATCATAAGATGTGATCATTACTGTATTGCAGTTTTTGACTGAGACTTGAGTTGACCGCACGGATTCTTTCATTTTAATCAATTGCTGTCAATTTTTAATAAACATTTTCTTTCTTAATTTATTTTCTGAAGTTGTTCTTTTACAATATTAATAATTAAAGAAGAATAAAAAAAAAAAATTGTTTATTTGATCTCCGGCGATGACTAAGCTCGTCAAAACCATAATCTAACATTCTACATAAAAGATCACCTGAAATAACTTGTAAGAATATCATCAGACAAACATTTGTGTCGCAAACGAGTAAACACTATCAAGCACTACGGAAACCACACGTAAAATCCCGTCGTAAAATAATTCTCTTCTTCACTAGACTCATCAGAGAAGTATATAGAAGCTCTATAGGAAAAGAGAAAGAGTTTTAAGTATAAAAGAGAATATGAACCGATCGTACAGTGGAATAGAGAAACGAAAGGCGAGTGCACCTGAAACAACTACGTGCTCTCACGATTTTAAAACAACGTGCGTTCATCCTGAACACACACATGTTTCTCCTCTTCACTCTCATTTTTTATTTTTTTCTCCGTTCATTTTTTATTTCTGCCATATCATTCCACTTTTATCTTCTATCGATTTACTTTATTTCTAACCCAAACGAACACACCAGAGGCATTTGTCACTCGGTTATATTATCACGAACAAGTGACGGGACAATCGTAATCCGAGACAGTGCGTGACATCGATTATTGCATTAATCGATTCGACAAATGAATACTCCTATGCAATGAGCTTATTTATCTATAATTTGCTATTTGTTATCAATATAAACCAATCTCATTCTCTTTTGTTTATTAATTAATTTATTTCAAAATGTTTAGCAAAATCACTAGAATATCTATTATCAATAAATAAAATGTTTAATCATTTATTTCAATGACTAGTCAGTATTATTTTTATCAAATAGTTATTGACAATAAAATCAATCAATTATTAAACTATATTTTTTCGACTAATATTTTTTTTTCACTTGGCATAATTTCAATAGATTTATTTTTGTAAACCAATTTTAAATGAATATTTAAACAATAAATAATAAATTTTACAATCTTTCATTATAATAAATTATAATTACTAATATTTTTAGTAATTATTTAGAATTGGCTCCAGACAACAATTGCTCCAAAGAATTTTTTATGCATTTGGGGTTATTTCTGAGAGTACAAATAGTCAATTTAAGGTGGGAGAGACATATTGTTATTACTTCATACTAAAATCATTAATTGTACATTTCAGAACGTGGCAAAGGGAGGTGTAAGGAGGAGTGTTTATAATTTGGTCAATGTTCACTCGCGGAGGAAGGGGGAGGATTAAAAGAGCATAAATAATTTTGTAATTATTAAAAGTATTTGTGCTTTTTTAATACCCTCCTCTCACCTCACTTTCCATCCCCTTTTAAAAAGTCCATCCCCCACACTTAAATATCTAATTTTACCTAACAGAATAGTTCCCAGCAAGTGAAAAATTTTTTGGAGCAATTTTCGTCTGGAGCCTCAATTCTAAAGAATTGCCCACTTTTTACACACTTCCAAGTGCATTAATAGTAACTACAATATTAATCAAAAGGGTGATGTCATTTTCGAACACTCTAAGTGTTTTAAATTAAAACACTACGATTTGTAGTCGATTTCACTGCAAACCCAAGTATTTAGAAATTAAACAGTTAAAGTGTTTGCAATGCTAAGCATCATAAACAAACTATGGCACTTTTGTAGTCGACTTTTAAACGCTTTTTGCCGTATACCACATTGCTATAGTTTGTTTATGACGTTCAACATTGTAAACACTTAGCTATTTAATCATTAAACACTTTAAGTGATTCATCACTAAACACTTGAATTTCTCCAGAATTACAGTGTTTGGAAAAAATAGTTGAGTCCTTTTGGAACTATTAATAGTAAATCCAACCACATATTTTTCCCAGTGTGATGATAATAAATAACGCCATAAAATAACACAATAAAAAAAATAATAACAAATGCAATAAATTTATAAATAAATAGTTTGTTAAACATAAAATCCAATCTAAACACTACAAATCATAATGTTTTAATTTAAAACACTTCCAAATTTCAGATTTGCAGTGAATGGTTAAAATTCTTTTCAATCGATCAAATAAATAATTATTACGATAAAATAATTTATTTAGTATTCAAACAAATTGTTTTGATACATTGTATAAATGCTTGAAAGAGAATTGTTTAAATGTTTGTACTGATTGTAAAATAATGAAACAACTTAATGACGTATCAGATTGATTAATCGATTTATAATAGTTGACTTGACGGAGTAAATAATAATTTGTATTTGTTAAACATTGAAATTGTTCACTAAGCATTTTCTTAGATATCACTAACTAGCCGCAAACTAACTGTGTGAATAATAGACGGTAATCGTCTATATTCATTTGTAACAAGTAAAGCTCAGTACGTACGAATATACCAACGTCTTTCTCAAATTCTCTCTCACCTCTTTCTCTCAGTACCACAACCAAAGACAAGGGGTCGACGGTGAAATTTCTAGATTGAATTCAAGTACACAGCCGTAAGGTTTTGGATAGTTAATAATGCAGATAAAACCTTCTCCATTTCAATAGACTACAAGACGATACATGTTACTTGTGTCGAACTTCCTTCTCTTTATCTTTCTCTATTTGCCTTTGTTTTTGCATTTATTAAATTTAATTATTATTTTTTATCATCACTCAAAATATTCATATTGTTTAAAAAAAAAATGTATAGCTTTGATTACTAAGTAAAAAATCATGTCAATTGTGTTTATACAGTTGGTACACAAAATGAAACAAGATAGAGCAGTAATATGTGTTGTAATACTTTTTTAGTTAAATATCATAAATTAAAAATAATTAGTAAGTAATCTTGAGAAAGGATTTTTATCTTGATACTTTGTATACATCTAATTTTATATCTATTGTTCTAAATATATTTAAGAGATTGGAGTTATTTTTATTTGCATATCAAGGAAATTGGTAAGACTTCATTAATAAATGGAATAATTTTAAAATAATTACTCAATACTATTATCGACAGTGAATTAAATATCTATTTTTAATCGAGATAATTTTATTTATACCAATCAATTAATTGTGATTGCATCAATAATTATATTAAATAAAAAAATAAAAATGTTGATGAATGTAAAAGAGTAAATGGATGATTAATAAAGATGAATTTTATTTGCGTTTTAGATAATACTTTTGATAACGTTACTTTCTATTAATTAAGTAGATTTGTTTATAAATAAAATAAAAACTCATTGCTGAGTAGGAAATTAAATACTAGTGAATAATATAAAGTCAACATCATTATGTACATATAACATTCTTGCGTTGTGTATTTGCACATATATGAGGCATCATAAAATCTTGGATAAACCAGATTTATAACAATAGAAGCTTTTGAAGAGCCATAAAAATCCTTCTTCCCCTTTTACTCCAAATGTAACCTCTGACTCGAGATATAGATCAAGCGCGGGATTTTTAAATTTGGTATTAAATTTAAAATTACTCTTCATTGAATATTAATATCAATTGTTGGTGAAGTTTTTTTTTAAATTTATTTTGTTTAATTGAGATAATTTGCAATTAAGTCAAAGTCAGTTTAAAAAATTGACGTGAAATATTGAAACGTCTTAAGATAAGAGTAGAATAATGGAGGGTGTAATAGGGATTTTTGTTAGTACCTGATCTTTGTCGTGTTGATCTTGGCTGTAGACTGGACCGTCACCATTTGGGGTGGTCGAAGCAGAGGGTCGTTGAGACGTTGACAAGTTGATCGCTCCGTCTCCGTCTGTGTCATGATCCATTATGCCATCGTCCTAGAATCATGCCATGATTTTTCGCATTTTTAAATCATCATAAACTCCTTTTTATTTTACATTTCTATTCATAACTCTATCACTTAATCAACTTTTATTAATGCATCATTAATAATGCATATTTATTTCGGAATAAATAAATTATTTTCAAGATGAATCATTCTTTTTTGCAATAAAAAATTAATTATCAATTTAGCAATAGAAAAATTTGAAACTTTATTCAACAATTATTAATTCTTACATCATTTTTTTTCTCTGTCACAGATCAATTCTAAAATGAGATCACTCTTAATAGTACACTGATAACTTTTAGCACAAAAGAAAATCACTAATCACAAATCACAAATAAAAAAATCACAAAATTGCGGAAATCACCGCGGGTATCCACTAAAAAGGCGCACGTGTATCCACGAGCTTATGGAGGGAGAATTGGAGTGCAAAAGTAACTTATATATGAATAGATTAAAATGAAAAAAAAAAAGGATTTTGATAATAAAAAATGAGAAAACGTAACGGTAAATACAGTTGTCGACTATAACGGAGGACTAAACACTAAAAGCGGTGATGCCAAGCGTTCAGAGTCGGCTGAACCCGGCGGGGCTGTTGCTTATTGTGTAAATATAAACAAATATAGTTGAAACGAACCAACAGGCCTGCTTTTAGTTCTCCCTTCCTGATCCTCCTCGCCCCTCTCTCAAGATCGCGAGCCCCTTCCATCTATTCCAAACGCCCTGCCGACACTCTTTCTTTCCCCTACCATACTTCTCTATCCGTATACGTCAAACTCCGTCTCACTTCGCATATCTTTCCTTTTCCCTCTTTAAATCTACTCCAACCACTCTCCTTCTTACTCATTTCGCGGCCCTTTTAGCCTCTTACCGCCGCCCGGCTTGCTACTTGCTCTTCGGACACACTACTCGTTCATATGCCTTGCAGATATCAAATCATTTTTAGAGTCGTCTTTCACGTGATAAGTTGTAGAAAATATCGTTGCTGATTTTTTTCTTTTTAAATCTATGCTTTATCTTGTTACTCTTTCTTTTTTCTCTCTCTCTCTCTCGCTCTTAAGTATTGAGTGTTATTTATCTTACAAATTTTAAATTAGAAAAATCATGAGTGTGAATTATTTGGAATTTAAATAAATTTTTTGTGATCACAGATGTTTATGAGTAAACATTTCTAAAAGATTATAGGCCCAATACCATGTGTTTTTATGTAGTGTCGTTTCTGCGTTCGCAGAAGGACAAAAAAAAATTTAAAAGGGTCGTCAAGGTGGTCGATTTGTATGACGGAAATATAACGTTTGATGCTTAGAAAAAAAATAAAAAGGGGAAAGAAAAGAATTTGAAAGAAAACTTTGAGATGAATATTATTCGGCAACATGATGCTCGTTTCATTGAATTTTTAATTTTTTTTTCTTACTAGTCATTCATTCTCCCCTTCTTTAATAGTAACATAAGTACAACTATATATATATACATCTCATGTTAAATGAAGGTCACAAATATACACAGAAGCTGATTTGTTTTTTATACTCAAATAATTGCATTTTAGTCTATGGTATTTTTATTTTTTTGATCCCTTATTGATTAATAAACATTTAAAAGATGATGATGATTGATCAGCTGTAGAAAACAAATATTTATTTATTTATTTACTCTTTGTTGTGAGCTCGAAATTCGATCAAGTAAGAAAGAGAGAGTGAATTTCGAGGGTTCCCATATAATGACGACGTAGCGGACAGACGGTTTATTTGGTACAGGGTGAAATACTTATATATATATTCACCCAATTCTCCTTCTCTGTCTTTTAGTCCTATAATAACAAAAGTGCTTAAAATCCGCGCAGCCGGTATTTCAATTCAAAATACCTGTTTATTTAATAAACAATACAAATGCACTCTTCCTGTTTATAATATGCCTTTTGAAAATATTCTTCGTTATTTTACATTAATTTCTAGACTTTGCTTAATCTATCAATAATATTTTATTTCTTATTTCCATTTCAGTTGATGTATTGTTGAATATATAAGATTATATATATATAATAAAAAATAAAAAAAAGAATAATATTGAAACTCAATCAAATTAAATTTTAATTGATCTGAATTCATTGATTAAATTGTTGAAAATTAATTAAAACGTTAATAAATTTTTGTCATGAGTAATGTAATTAATAAAAACAATACTGTTAGGGTTAATTAATATGCAAACAAGAAATACAAAGGTAAGAATTTTTTATAAAATAAAAATTGAACAAGAATGTATCCATGACTTGTCCTAGGCATGTCTGACATTAACAACAATTCGACCGAATCTACTTATTCAGTTCTCTCTGACTTTGATCCAAGCTCAATCTTATCCTTCGTTCACAAAGGCTTTTTCGAGAGTCCTAGTTCATCACATCTAGTGTTTACATGAATTGAAGGACACTTGTTTAAACAATTAATTGATTACATCTCTTAAAAAAATTCTTCAAGTGCTGATTAGCAAATTTCCTTATTTTTACTCTTCTAGGTAATTTTGTTAGCCATTGTCGTTCTATAAAAGCCATTTTATAAAATAAAAATTAAAAATAACACTTTAATGTGAACTTGATAAAAAAATATTTCAATTAAATAAACAATTATTTATATTGTGTACAATAATTTTTTCCTAAAATTATAACAATCAAAATTAGCATTATAACTAATTGAATATTTAATGTTTTTAATCAGTTATAATTCGAAAGAAAAAGGAGTTACATAACATATAAAAAAATAAAGAGTATGAGTAATTAAAAAAAAGTCAATTAAGAGAGTGCAGAGAAGAATGTAAGTAAGAGATATATTAAAAAGAAACGTGTGGACACATCATCAGGGGTTGAATATACAAAGATAATATGTCGGAAAAGAGACTTCTCGTCGAACAAGAAAAAAAGCGTGAGGCTTTTCGGCCTTCACTAAATAATAAACGAGAGGATTTAAGCCCAGACCGGACCCACAGACTACTAAGGGTTACTACATAAAAATACTTGAATCTGAGAAATTAGCGAGGTAACGGGTTGTCAGGAGCATGAGGGGAACCAGAGTCCGGGTATATGGGCGCCAGAACTGTTAGTAAAAACCCCAGAGAGTAAGAAACAAGAGAAAGAGAGAAGGTGAGAGTTCTAAAAGGGTTGAATTAATGTCGCGATAAATATATGATTTAAGGTGGAAACGTTTGCAACTCTGGCTAATTTTTTATCTCAGAACTGTGTCCGTGGTCGACACTCGGAGAGTTTTTACTCTAGCCCATCTTCTCTCACTCATTTCATCCCCTTTTTAGCCAATTCTTTTTTCTCCATATCCACTACGATTTAGTGTCAACTGAAATCTAACTGGACAACACACACTTTTTAATAGTTAGTTTTGAGATTTTTATGCTTTATGTGACTACACTGATAGAAGTGATTTGTAATAATCAAGGAGGCTTCTTAACTATTGAAAAATATTTTTTAACAGTTAATTAATCTGGTTAACTATTAAGGAATCTAATGTAACCAATATAAATCATATTTTATTGTAAATTACATGATTTTTTTTCATATAAAATAACATATCGTTCGAATGAGGTTAGGATTTGGTTTTATTTTATGCATTTTGTTTATTATGGTTGGACCAGGAAAAGAGTCTTTTCGGCCCCATTTTGTCTTACTACACCGTGCGGTAAATATAAAAAATCACAAATTTATTTATTAATTCGTTTTTTAAAAATTAATTTATATTCATATTGCGTCGCATACACATTCTATCAATAATTAATAACAATAAAAATGATATTTCTTAGTACACGCAGAGAAATGTATAGTAAAAATTACTCTAAATTTTATGGTAATTTGGTGACAGCGCAGGGTGGAGGTAAAAATTACTTTGCACATTGTTAAAATTACTAAACTGCATAGTAATTTTGAGGGTATAATTGGAGTAAAAATAACTATGCAGTTTAGTAATTTTAACAATGTGCAAAGTAATTTTTACCTCCACCCTGCGCTGTCACCAAATTACCATAAAATTTAGAGTAATTTTTACTATACATTTCTCTGCGTGTAACTAGGGGTCGATAGCGCGCTCCGTGCACCTTAGTGAACATGTCCCACTATTTTTTCCATCAAATTTACACAATCTTCATAACAAAATATTTTAACATTAATATAAATATAATTATATCTGAAAAATAATAACACCGTAATAAACATTCTTTTCGAATTAACCAAATTCAAATAAAAGCTATTTACCGCCAATAAATTCAACAACCAATCAAATAACGAATAAAAAGGCGATGAATATGACGCAATTATGACGTCAATCCGCTAATTAATTTTTTTAGAAAAGGATAACAAATCTTAGGGAAATTCAAACTAAAAGGACTACTTTTTTTTAGTGGAGTCGACTTTTTCGAAATCACCCGAAGACAACTCTTTTCCGGGTCCAACCATAATAAAAAATATGCATAAAGCAAAAAGTGAGGTTATAATTCTGGTTGATGTAACGTTAGGTGGCGTTACGATCGCCGATTTATAAATTGTTAAAAACTATTTCTTTACGATAAAATGAGATGTATTTATCATAAAACCATTAATGTTTTCATAACTAAGGCTTCTTTACTGTTAAAAAATATTTATTAATAATTAAAAAACATTGATTCTAATAATTAAAAAATGGTCTTTTAATAGTAATAAGTCTCTTCTATCAGTGAACTCAACTGATTCTTTTCTTTTCGTCTGATAATGTCCACACACTAGGCTATTAATCACGACAGAATAATCCTATAAATTTAATGTAAATAATAAAAATCGGCATAATCTTGATATTTAAACAGAGGAGAAAAAAAAGTAAAGTAGATGAGATACAATTCAATGTCCCGTGACCAAGTTCATAGCTGGACATTCTCATGGATCTATAAAAGAGTGTTTTACGAGTCCAAGATAATACGATGAGGAATGCAAACTGTGTCCAGTCATGCTTGAGGGATATATCCAAG